TAGTTTAAGTCTTCAAAATATGTGTTGTAGGAAATATATTTTGTCGTGTGTGTGTGTGTGTGTGTATGCATGAGAGCCTAAGGAGGGAGGGAGGGTGGCAGTAAAAGAGAGAGAGAGAGATGGAGACACAGACCCAGACACACAGGGAAAGAGGTATCTTTTGGAAGAGAAAGAAAGAAAACTGAAAATCATCTCACTGCATTTAACGAGGCCCCACCGGACTAGCTCTGAGTCCAAATCAAAATCTCAGAGGCCAACTCTGAAAGCTCACATTTCCTGAATCTATTCCATCCCAATGGGTCACAAAGCATCTGACATTTACTTCCACTAAATCTCAAGTATGTCTCCAGGGGATAGACATCCCTTTGTTCAGAGAGAAAACTTGAAATGGCTAGTTCATCAACCCACTGGCTTGGTTAGCCACAAGTATTACTGAAATTAGAACCCAAGTGATAGGCAGCTAAGGGAGCTGTGAGTGATGTTCTGTGATTCTGAAATCTAGGGAAAGTGAGGGAGAATATTTGCCACAAGAGGGAGCAGGAGAATTTGATCAGATGGGAGACTATCTGGTAGAGGTTATGATGAGGGGTCTAAGTATGAGGTATGGACAATATTGGAAGATGTTTTGGCAAGAGACATCTATCCCTTATAAGAAAAAAAGTGGGGGGGGGATGAAAGGAACAGGAAGAAGAGAGAGATTGCAACACGTTGATTCCTAAATTCTCAGCAAATGTAAAGCAACAATTTAATTTTTGGTTAGAAGCAACATACATTCACACTGCAAAAATACAAAACATGCAAAATAGGTGCTCTACCACCCTCTTTTAATCATATATTTCTTTTTCCAGATTTAATTTCTATTTCAGCCTGGACCTTGGTTATTTCCATGCTGATGGGGTAGACCACTTGCTACTAACCTCCATGCTATGCTCTCCCTACCTGAAGGTGTTATGGAGAAAGGGCTCCTTTCACTGAATTGCAACACAAAAATCAGATGGCAAAGTCCTATAATGCACTTACTTTGGGAGAAACACATCCATGACCTAAATGAATGCTTTAACTTGCTTTAAAGCAGGAATGTAACCTCATTGGATCTGCAGAGCTTTTATCATCATTTATTTTTTTTTTTCAAAGAAACAGATTAAATACCGAGAGGGAAGAAACCATGCGTTTACTTTGCAAGATAAATAAAAGTCTATTTTTGTCTGATAAAAAACATGTTAAATATAGCTTGCTAACAAAATGCTGAAGCTCTCTTGGAATTTTTTTTTTTCAAAACATAGTAAGCTTGAAAGAGCAATTAATGTAAGTTCTGCATACAGTCCTGACTATACTTCATCTTCCTTTTGTAATTTTATTTGGAGTAAAAGCACTGCTATCACTTCTCTTCCCCTTCATGGTCAACAAAATGGTTAGCTAGCTCTTAATCTTAATCCAAAATGATATAGCAGAAACCATTCAATAGTAATGATAAAATAGAAAGACTAGAAAGACAGATGGATAAATAGGTAGGTAGATGGGTAGATGGACAGATTGATAGACAGATAGATATAAAGCACTGCTTTCATATTCTTTTAATTCATTACTCTCCTCTTCCAGCCCTGTGATATTTTCAGGACAGAGTAAATGAGGTCGGATTGTCATGGACACTTGCATCCTTTGCAACCCTGCACAGCTCAATAGTCAATAACGGTTTACCTCTATCCAGTTCTTTAACTCCCTAGTAATTAATCATTCCATATTTAATACAAGACAACAGCCATTTTAGGGAGAAAAAAAAATCAGGGCTCTTTTTTTAGTAGGTGGGAGAAATCTTAGCAAAATAGCCCTCAGAATCAAATGGAATTCTTCAAACAGGCAGGATTTGTAAAATGAAAACCATTTAAGAAAACACAACCTGCTTCTTGATCAAGTAAGTGGGTCTTCCCCCACCTTCTCACTTACAAGGCCCCAAAGATGGAGCTAGCCCTCCTTTCCTTCCTCCTTTCACACCAGCCTAAGCAGCCAATTAAGCAAGTTTAGCAAACCCATAGAGCTAAATCCAAGTAACACAGGATTTGAAAGAGGAACCTAACAGCCTTCACCCCTATTCTGATTTTGCTTTATCTGAAACGAATGAAACATCTAGATACATTTCTATCCTCCTTTCTCGACTTGCTGCAGGAGTAGCTTTGAGAGAGAGAGAAAAAGAGAAAACATGCAAGTGTGTGCATGTGTGTGTTTACGGGGGGGCATGGGTGGGAGGCATACTTGCAGAATCCCCTCCTGGTTGCTCCCCATTTCCCCATTTCCCGTAGCAAATCTTCCCACAGATGCTGGATTGTGGGTGCTCCAATTGCTCATATTTGGAGATACTCAGCCTATGCCTTTAACCAGATCTGATCAGAATCTCCACCTACTCTGCTAGCTCCTCCATGATCTGGATGCCAGTACTGTCTTTACCACATCTGTCATTTTTTAAAAAGCTTCTTCCACTACACCTCCTACTGATATCCTTTTTTCTCTTTTTAGTCTTTACACCTCCAGCAGGACAAAGTTTGTATTGTTATAGTCACAACCACTAGTGGCTGACTAGCAGGAGAGATACAGAATGCCAGCAAGGGAGCCAGGCTAAGGCGGGGGGGGGGGGTGGTTAAAGAGATAACCTAGTGCAAAGCATGACTTTCTTTCCGATGAATGCGGACACCACGCACTATTGCTCTCTTCAAAAAATGCTTTGTTAAATTTGATCCCTCTGCTTTCAACCCAACCACTGCCACTTTGTCTGGAGAGGGAAATACAAATTGCCAGCCCCAGTCATTCATCAAATAGTCAACAGAATCCATGGGGGGGGGGGCTGTTAAAATCAAGGATGCACACACACTGTATTTTTAAAAGCATCCTCTGGGCAGATTTGGTTTCTTTAGCTGACTGTCCACCCATAAGACCTCCCTCTTCTTCATTAAGGAGGAGCCAAGAAGGATATCCTCACATCTCAGAACACAGACCATTTCCCCAAGAGCCAGCAAAGCTCCAGAGGCAGATAATGCAGCTGCAAAGTTCCCTTCGAATCTCGTGGGGGAGAGAGATGCCTGTGCGTGCAGAATCCCCAACGCGCACACCCCGGCATAGTGCCCAGAGACCCGGACCCTTCAGCCCACTCCCCCACCCCCCCCGCTCCCCGCTGTAATCCCCCCTTGCCTGTTCCTCCTGCCCCGGCCACAACTCCTTCCTCTCCGCAGTCCGTGGTGAAGGAGCACCCAGACCTGGCCGGAAAAAAGAGACTCGCGAGTGTGGCCTTGGGGAAGACCCCAAGGATTACCAGGACGTGGGATGACCGCGGAGCAGAGCCCAGTGGGTGGGGACGCCTGGATCCCCAGCAGCGCTGCATTCCGGGTGGACTTAGCTCTTCGCGCCCTGAAGCCTCAGAGCCCAGCGCCGTGCAGGGTGCAGCATCTCTCCTTAGTAGCCCTTTTTTCCTCCGGCAGCCGGCAGTGGCAGGCGGGCACACTCACGCCCAGACGCACCAGCCCGAGCAATTTCGCTCCCCGAGAAGCGCGGACACCCCAGAAAACGTGTAGGGACACACGCGCGCGCGCACACACACACACACACACACAATTCAGCAGCCGGTCCCTCGCCCAAGCGGAGTGAAGTGTAGTCTTACGAACAAGAAATGGAAAATAGTTGGCGGTAGCTGACCAAATCCTCCTGCTGCCCATCATAAGATCCTACCTGGTTTGGGGGAGTGTGGATGGATCCTTCCCCAGTTCCTCCACGCTAGCAGGCAATACGGCGCACTCCCTCCTTTTAAATAGCTCCCGACCGGGAAGAGGTCGCTCCCATCTTCTGGGGGTAAGCACAAAGCGGGCGGCGGCGCGGGGCAGGCTCCCGTGCAGCGCCGGCGCGAGCGGGAGCGGCGGCTGCGGGCAGCCGGTGCGCGCGGGCGGGAGGCAGGCGCGGAGGCCGGGAGGCTGGGAGGGCCGGGGCCCGG